TGGACCACGTTGGATGAACCTCATGATGTTGGACCACGTTGGATGAACCTCAACTTGTTACTGGACCATGGTGGGTGGTTTGGGTGGGAGGTTGGGTGGTTTGGACGGGATTTTTTGGCCGTTTTGGTGGATTCTGATGGTTTGGGGCCTTTTTTGTTGGGTTTTGGGTGGATATTGGTGGGTTTGGTGGGGTTTTTGGATGGTTTTGATGGGGTTTTGGGGCCATTTTGTTAAGAGTTTTGGGCCGTTTTGTTGGGTTTCTTGGGCTGTTCTGGTGGTTTTGATGGTTTCCTTGGGATTTTGGGCCCTCTCGTTGGGATTTTGGGTCCTTTTGCTTGGTTTTGGGGCCATTTTGCTGGGGTTTTGGGCCATTTTGTTGGGTTTTTGGGTCGTTCTGTTGGGTTTTTGGGTCGTTCTGTTGGGGATTTGGGCTGTTTCACTAGGGTTTTGGGCCATTCTGTTGGGGTTTTGGGCCATTCCGTTGGGGTTTTGGGCCATTCCGTTGGGGTTTTTGGGCCCGTTGAGTTTTTGGGGCTGTTCAGGTGGTTCTGCTGGGGTTTTTCAGGGTGGTTTAGGAGGTTCTGGTGGGTTTCAGGGGCCCCAACTCACAGCGTGTGCTGCTCAGCATGGAGCTGGGCCGGGAGGAGGGGTTGGACGGGCGACTGCGGCGAGGGCGGGGGGGTACGGGGAGGAGAAGACCCTTGGCCCACGGCTGGGGTGGTGGGAAGGAAGGGACCAGCAGGAGAAGCAGTGGATGGAGAAGCTGGAGCAGCGTTGGGGGGGTCAAGGATGGGCCTGTTGTAGAAAAAAAAGGGGCACTGGTGGATGAAGAGTTCGATGATTGTCTGGTAGGTGCGCGTGGCCGTCAGGGCGTCCATGGTGCTGAAGTCGGGTCTCATCAAGGTGGGCCAGAAGCAGATGGAGAGGTTCTCACTGGTCATCAGGTTGACTCGGTGGTTGTGGCTGACCCTGGCGTGGAAAGGAGCAAAAAGACCCCCCCCATGAGCAGGTTTTTCTGCAAGGGTTCTTGGTTCTCCGACCCCCAAGTCCAACCTACTTGTTCAAGTGGCCGATGACGTATTTGAAGACCTCGTAGTTCTCCTTGGGGAACTTCTTGAGAACCTCCTTCAGGGCGTGGAGCTTCTGCTCCCTGTCGTTGATTTCTGGGAGGAGGGGAAGGGGAGAGGGTGGGGGAGGTGCAGCAGGACCCCCTTGGTGGTGTCCCCCCTTGGTTTGGTTGGTGTCCCCCCATGGATTCTTGGTGTCCCCCCTTGGTTTGGTTGGTGACCCCCATGGATCAGATGATGTCCCTCCTCCCAGGGGGGTCCTCCTTGGTGGGTTGGGGTCCCCACAGTG